GGTTGGATGAGAGGGAATGTGAAAAACTGAGCTTTAGCTTTCACAAGCATTTCTGCTGTTCCCATTACATTGTAGTTTAACTTATCATTGTACCTGGTATTTACTAAACAGTATGTTTATAATATCCTCACCTCCTACACTTAGAGCTATCCAGGAAAATGCATCAGCATCAACTTTTTCTGCTACTACAGTTATAAAATAAAAAGACATATGTATAATAATACTGCTATAAAAGGCACATTCAATTTTTAAACATACTACTGATGGATAAAACTGAACTTTAAAAGAACAGATATTATACTGACAGCTTTCTCTTAAAATATTACGGAAATTACTGTTACTTTTTTTTTTTTGCTTTCTCCTCTATTTTGCCTGACGCTCTTAAGCTAAATTAGTAGAATGATCACTGACATCAACAAACATGTAAGAAATTTCTAACCCATGTTTTATTTTTTAATTGACATGTGGTATGGTGCAACATAGTCATCATAAATATTTTGAATTCTGTACAAGATTTACAAACATAAAAACTGAACATTAATGTAATTTATAACCTGGCTATCTTTAGCTATTGTAATATTAAAAGCAATGCATCTTTCTGAAGCGAAGTGTTCATGGACTTCTCCCATATCTGTGACTTAACACAGAATTTCAACAGGAGTTTGGTCAAGCCATTTTCCTAAGCAGAGATGGAAGAAATCTCAATCCTGGAATGTTATTAACTTTGCTTCTTACATCTGCTGAACTGAGATAAATTACTATCATCTCATTAATGAACCCATTTCTGTCAAGCATTTTTACCCAGAACCCATCGATCAAACAGGCGTAAAATATGCACTAATGAAAAGGGTCGGATAGATGTTCAAATCACAAGATTTGTAAAGAAACACAGAGAGACCATTGTTCTGAAACTGCAGCTGCATATCGCACAATCTGACCATAAACAAATTTGCAACAGTTACTGAACTTGTGTAATATAAGTACACCACACGGATGGAAAATTTCAGGACCGTGTTACCCTTCCAACAATACACTGAAGGATTATGATAAGTGCTTCTGTCAACATAAAAATGAAGATGTTACAGACATTCTGAAAAAGCAACTAGAAGCTCTGTAGAAATACCCAACATTAAAGTAAATGATATAAAAAATTTGAATTAAATATTTTAACCAAGAGTGTTATTAGAGAAATAGATGACGTTTAACCAAAACACAGCATTTAAAAATTAATTTTCCATCATGCATAAAGATATGTAAAATTAGGCCCTCTGCACAGTGGTACAGCTTTTTTACTGCTGTGATAAAATTTTGGAATACAAAAATATGTTTTGTCTCAGTTTAATTTGTGTGTTCATGTTTGTATGCATGTGTGAAGAAAAGACTATTTCCTGTTCAAGTTGAAACACAAGACATAAAAGTAATATCTATTGAAATTATTGCACGGGTAATGGAAGACCGAAAACAAGGAATATGTTCTATGGCGACATCTGACCTTATACAGTGAAGTATTAGCAAACTAGATGAAGAGAAACAGGATCTATAAAAAGAACTGACTTATATAAAATCCCACATGAGCAGCAACCTGCAATGAATATTACATGCAGTGCCACATATTCCTAACTTAGGCATTCCTGCTATAATTCCAAATGTATTTGTTGTTACTAAATTAACAGTATACAGTAAACTATATTCAATAAATAATTAATAAAAAATGCATATAATCCTGAGCTGAAGTTGGAACACTGTGTATATTTAACTTTCCATACTATCAATATCAGTCATATGTTCTGTGTTTTCCACGTCATAGTGAATTAAGCCGACTGTTGAAAGTTTCAGTGTGAAACAAAAACACGATGATACATGATACAAACAGAAACTTGAATTAATATTTTTGTTATTGTTTCAAGGTACAAATGACACAATCGTGGAAGCAAAAAATATGAAAGTGATAAAAATAGCTTCAAATTAAAATAAAATACTGTTAATACTGCAATTAATAAAATACATATATCTGCTAAGCCATAACTAAGCAATTAAAGTAAGTATTTTACTTTATGAACCTGAAATTTGGAGTGAAGTAATAACATTAATAGATGTATCAACATACCTCATTATGATGCATAGAATAAAATCCTCATTTCCACATCTTAAGCAGACTAATATGACTTTGTGTGACATGTTCACTATAATGAATCACTGATAATACTGCATTATATGGTTTACATATTTTATTCAATAAATCATTCTCACACATATTAGAGGCCTTTTCACCCTTTTCAATGTAAAAAATTCTACATATTAAATTCCATAAATATAACATGAAATACTATGTTATTACTTCAAAATCATCATTATCATTTTGATTAAGAAAAAAAGGTTATGGTTCCAAATACATCACCATCCCTGAAAATGTTCTTTTTTTCTGGGGGTGCAGATGTATCTCAACCCAACACTGTTTTTCTTAATCATACCTTATTGTGGTTCTTTCTTATTATTAAAATATTAGTTTTACCAAATATAAGTATTATANTTGTGCTAACTTTGTAACTGGCCACTTTGCTGTTAAGTTTGCATGTAAATAAACACAACTGAACTGAATTATTATTATTAAAACTGCTCTTTTGTATTTTGTGTTTTGTTCTTCTTACTTGTGCTTACTTTATAATTGGCCCCTGGGCTATTGTTTGCATCTATATAAATAAGAACTGAATTACATTTTCATTAACTGAATTAAAATTAACATTTATGATTTTATAATGAGTCCATCTTGAAACCCTTTAATCTTAAGACCATCTGAACAACAGAACCTTTATACTGTATTTCTTTTTCCCCCACTACATATTTTGAACCTTTATCAAGTAATCTAAATTGTTTTTCAGTTACTACTGAAGATGGATCCACCATAATGGCTCAAACATAAGAGTAGGAAATAAAACCCCGAAATGTTTAGTTTAACGGATGGTCTACATTAATTAAATATATTGGTGATGGGGGGGGGAAGTGTTTTTCTTAATGGTAAAACAAACTGCCCTACAGATATGAATTAAACTCCTACAAGTTTTGCAGCATGTACAAAAAAAAATGGTCACCATCAAATAAAGAAAATGGGAGTGAAGCCGTTAGCTAAGAAAATGGTGGTTCTATTCAGATCAATCTTCATAAAAATGATGACTGAATTATATATGATATGTAAACATTTAAAATGGAAGATACATTTCTGCGTCATAAATCAACCGAACCAAACAAACCTTCTTATATACAGATACAGTCTACACAAAACGAAGTTTCATGCAAATCAAGAATGCTGTTCACTCTCACAGCTTAAAAAAATGTGTCTTTTGTGTACCTGATATCAAGAATTGCATTATACGCTACTTAAAAATGCCCTTTTAAGTGCCAAAAATCATAATGTCCAGCAGATGATAAAAAATACAAACATAATGTTAACACTGAAAGAGTTTAATTTTCATTTGTTCATCTCATTATAATTGCAGCCATAAACAACCACTGTATTTGCCCTCCTCCTGTGTGACGTAACGTTCTTTTTGTAGCCTTATGTGAAGGTAGAGAATTAATCTACAGGATAATATATTTTCTTTACTAAGATATCTGGTGCTGCCAACATATCACTTCAAAGCTGCCAAATATTGGTCTCGTGGAAAAAAGAAATTTCCTTCAATCAATGGACTATTCTGAGCCTTATGTAAAGGCAGAGAATTAATCTACAGGGTAATATATTTTCTTTACTAAGATATCTGGTGCTGCCAACATATCTCTTCAAAGCTGCCAAATATTGGTCTCGTGGAAAAAAGAAATTTCCTTCAATCAATGGACTATCCTGAGCTTTATGTAAAGGCAGAGAATTAATCTACAGGATAATATATTTTCTTCACAAAGATATCTGGTGCTGCCAACATATCACTTCAAAGCTGCCAAATATTGGTCTCGTGGGAAAAACAAAATTTCCTTCAACCAACAGACTATTCTGAGCCTTATGTAAAGGCAGAGAATTAATCTACAGGATAATATATTTTCTTTACTAAGATATTTGGTGTTGCAAACATATCTCTTAAAATCTAAAATATTGGTCTCACGGGAGAAACAAAATTTCCTGCAATTAAACGTCACATATGATACATATCGTTCAGTCAAAGTATTATGCCATATTTTGTGTTGTATAATATTTTGATCACATGGGCACTTAGTAAACCCATATCAATTCCTTCCTCTACAGCAAATATTTAATACTTTTTAACATTAGCAGTCACAAATAAGTCATTTCTCATAAACTTTGCAAGCAGTAATCTCTATCATAATTTTATCAGAAGATTCTGCTAGAATATTAAGAACTGTTAGAATAAGTGTTACACACACACACACACACACACACACATGTTTTAGCTACATACAACAATTTTGGACACCACATGTTTGGAGATGTTCCTAACAATGGGGATAAAATAAGTCTTCTACACATACATTCAGCAATTGGTATGCTTTTGTTTAAACATATTTTTCCTATCATAACCACAAATATTAATGACGGATACTATGACTTTTTCAAGTGGGAGAAGTACATCCACATAATAACCAATAAGTCCTCATATTATTTCGCCAAGTTTCTATGTGGGAGGAAACCTTCTGCAAAACTGTTCATGATACTTTACATAGTTACTTGCACTCCAGAGAGTCAGCAATTAATAATCATTATAAAATATGCTAATAATATCTATCACTGATGCTCATGACCATTCTTTGAACTATTTAGCAATGATGATGGCTACTTAACAGTGTCTTCTTATGACATCCATTCAATCTGAATTAAAAGAACCCAACAACTAAAATCTTCTTTTAAAATTGTCAAATTTAATCACTTTCCTGTTCAAGATATAAAATCTCTCGGAAATTAGTTTTACAGTTTTCAGGTCCCATGTTGGCCCCATTACATTTCTAAACTCATACTTCAAAATGCCACCTGTTTCAAGTCAGTAGATACTCACCATTCACTTGATGATGAATGTGTGTGTTAGCGTTCTGCAGCCTCTGACTGCTATTGAGGTCCAGGTACAGATCAGCTGGCCCTGCTGTTCCACTCAACTTTCTCAAGACATTCATTCCGCCATCTTGTTGCTGCTGCAGTGTTTCAAGTGTTTTGTTTACATCATCACTGGTTAGTGTGAGTGGTGTTTCTGGCGAGTCCAGAGGCCTGGTACCTACAAAGGAACTTTCCAACCAACACAGGCGACCACTACTCCCACGAGGGGAACCTCTGGGTGTCACGGCAACATCCAAGTCTGTGCCACGAGGAAGTGACAGTGAATCCCAATGGGAGTCACCTGCAAGTGCTTCACCAGAACCATCCCGCACTCCAGAAACATAGTGGACAATGGCAGACGTCACCTCCTTAATTGATGTCCGGACTTCAGACAGATTTGGTACTTGCTGCATCTGTAATAAGTTTACAAATTCTTTAAAAATTAACTGACTATATGGAGCTGAGCCCTTCTTGAGAAGCCACCAAATGTGCAGCTATTCAAGAACTTCCCAGCATTTTACGGAATCCGAAGGTTCATACCGTGTTCACAAGAGCTCTCTGCTGGTCCCTTATCCTTAGCCAGTCCATACCATTCCATCATATCTCTCTGAGATACATTTTAATATTGTTCACCCATCTAAGACTTGGTCTTCCTAATGGCTTTAAAAATGAGGATGTTTAATTATGCTTTCATGTCTATCAATATGACTGTGGATTAGCATACACATAAGTAAAGTTAACAAAAGTCAGTGACCACAACGTAACTGCCACCAAGAATGAAATGGAACTCTCCTGATCTGCTATAAAAACCACTCAGTTCACAAATGGGTGTACTGTACTCCTTCATCTTGGGCCTTTATAATCTTACACTCAATTCTTATGGGTGTGATACAAATGCATGGAACCTGTAACAACTATCAACTACAAGGGAAATGGTATTTTTGTCTCATTATAGCAAGCTGCCTCTTCAGTAGTCCCCACAGTACACAGCTCATCAACCCGTAATGATGGAGACAGACATGGCCTCTGAAACATCAGGACACCAACTGGTCTAGTCATACAAGAGAATTTCAGTCAGTGGTCAGTTGTATGACTGTAACAAAGTGAATATAGCCAGGAAACAGTGCGATAAATGGCCAATGGACTGGCAGATTGTTATCATGTGACCTGTTTTCTGTGTGGTCTGTGCTACACAACAAAAGAGGGGCTGTGTTGTCTGTGGGTGGCCCGTGCTGAGAGGATATGAGAGAATATGGGAATGGGAATTGACTTCAGTTGAGTTCCAAAGTTCCAAGGGAACAGCAGCGTGGCGAGAAGGAGAATTAGAAGACTCAGTGTGTGACGTCACATGTGCTGTAGTTACAGTAATCTCGAGAGTGTAAGAACTAACTGCAGTTATGACTTGTGTAGATATAATAAACCGATTCACCAATCCATATCCGCATCTCAGTCTCTGAAACACGTGACATTAGATATATGCAATTTCGGTTTCCTATATATATAATGATGTAAATCTCATAATACAGCTCCCTCTTTCATAGAGAGCTATTCCTTCATTTTCTTATGTTAAGTAGACTGTTGTCTGTTAGCTGTCATACACTCGCATTATCACATGCGGAGGTTCTTTGGGCTTGTAATGTGTACTCTAAATCCTGGATGGGGATTAATTTTTTTTTCAAAATTCGCTTAGTGGGGGGTGGAGTCCAACTGGGTCCACTCGGCACGGCGGCCACTGACTGGCCTATTGTACCCGCCCTGTGTGATTATGATGATGGAGAATTTGGTGGAATGAAGACTGGCAGTGGAAACCGAAGTACTCGGAAAAACCTGCCCCAGCGCCACTTTGTCCACCACAAATCCCACTTGACCAGACCCGGGATCGAACCCAGGACGCCACGGTTGGGAAGCCAGCGACTAACCACTTGAGCTATGGCACAGCCTAGATGGGGATTAACTATTCAGTCAGAGATATACTAAGCAACACAGACAATTTGATGTTTGGAGAGGTATTAAAAGATACTGGCTCTACTAACATAAAAGGGTAGCAAATCTGAATTATGTATAACTCTTCATTCAACAAGTTCTAAATTTATTCATTTGACAGCATAGAATGTTGGAAAAGAATTATGAATGATGTTAACTCCATTCTTGGGTTGTTACACAGGGCAAATGTGGGCAATGCTGGTGACATCTTCAAGGTTTAAGAGTGTAAAGTGGGTAGTCTTTATGCAGATGCAGGGTTTTTCAAGAACAGAGGAGGAGGAGGATGGGAGAGTGGGAATTGGTGTCTTATCTGGGCCATATAAACTCACCAGCTACTGATGCTCCCGAATGGTCACCCACACAAGTGTTCACCAGGCATAACACAGCTTAATTCTCTATGCTGTGGGCCAAGCAGCATGAAGATCATCGTTAGTTGAAGGGAGGTTCTCGGCAAGGGTTGAAAGGAAGAAGCATAAAGGACGCAAATCAAAAGCGAGATGGGCGCAGACGGGGGCAGTGCATAGGCTGGGGTGTCCTTGGGAGACAAGCAAATCACCCTTTTGCCATTGTAGCAGTTCTTCAATCTGGCATGGGATTTGAGGGTACTTCATGTTTCTGGCATCCTTCCTTCTGCTTCACTGCACGGTCGCTCTTCTTCCAGGCAAGGCTTGGCTGATTTATATGGCTTCCCGAACAACTCTGCTGGTGCTGTGGAGCAGCTTAGCTAATCAATTACCAGGGAAGCCATAGATATGAATCAAGCCCCACCTCAGTGTAGCCACCAGAGGCTGGTTAGTGTTATTTATATGCTATAAGGATGCATACCAAGTGTTCCCTCTTGTGACCTCACAACAAAAGAACCTGTTCTGCAGTTGAAGTGAGCCAGTCTTCACCTTACCTGTTCCTCATCCTCCTGCTGCAACTGCCTGAGTTCTGCTTCCTGTTGCAACAGCTGATGAAGATCCTGCTGGGTCTGCTGTGGGGTGATGATACCCTGTGGGCTGGTGAGTTGTTGTTGCTGCTGCTGATGCGTGGGCAACAATCCTGCAGCAAGCCGCTCTGCTGGGGTGCGAGGTCTCGTGAGCCGTTCTTGAGATCTCCATCCCAGGTATGGCTGCCGGTAGTTGAACGAGGAGCGTGTGGACCCGCACGGGGATGTGCTGGTAGAAGTGCCACCGCTGTTAAGGCGACTTGTGCTCCACCGCGTGAACATATGCGGTGTTGGGCTAGGGCTCAGCAGGTGACCTGAAACAAGCATGCAAAACGGTCCATTAATAATTTATTTCAAACAGGGTTCCCTCAAATTTTACTGAGAAAAAGATACATGTCACAAACGCGAAAGACCACCAACAAAGTACAAGAGGCCAGAAAGAAATGAACGAAAATGTAAACGGATTCACCGCATATAGCGTATCATGACTTCTGGTTTGTGATTTGCAATGCAAATGCTCAGAATACAATCCATGCAGCAATCCTTATCCAAAATTTGCTCAGATTTCATTGTAAACAAGATTCACTGTATTAATTACAGGTACCTTGTACCTTATGTGAAATGACTGAAGGTTAGGTTAGGTTAGGTTAGGTTAGGCTGAGCACAGCCCGTGTCGTGTGCGTATGGCTCCACGTTTTCATCATTTTATGAACACACATCCTAGAGCACGCATCCTTTTACTCCTACCCCTCCTCCCTTGGTGAAGGCTGGCTCTGAGATTTATATGTAGCAGTTACTGCCTGCACTGACAGGGACAAAGATGTTTTTTTTTTCAAATTACCTTGATTCTCATTTCCAAAATACTTCCAGTTTAACTTCTCCCTTCTTCTAGTGGGCAGGTGACCGGCATTTTGTCTCTCACCCCAAGAGGTATGTAGCTTTAAATAGGCTAAGAACCTTTGGTTTTCATCTCATGAAGTATCCTAAATGCAGGTCCCTCTGGGTATATTGAATTATTCATTTCTTGCCTTGTATTTGCAGTTTCTTCAAATAATACGTTGGTTTTGTTTCCTAAAATTCTTCCTCTTTTGGTTATTTGTGCCCAGACAGATGGGCGGATGCCCTACCTGATCCGGTCATGCAGCAGGCAGTGCACTGCTACAAACAGAATGTTATAAATGGCCAACCCCTCTGTTGGAAGTTCTTTCTGAGACACTGCATTTCGTTGTGTAGGGGCTAGCATTTCTACCTCATAACCGGAATGAACGGGCTTGAATCTAGGCTGGAGCATAAGCTATCCTCACATGTTTCAAAAATAAATTTCAGTTTCATTTCTGTTTCAAAGGATGGCAGTAAGTAAGTAAAAGTAAAGCTGTCCCTGTAACAGGCCAGGGAGGCTCATATGGTTGTGAGACGTTGAGGTTCCCACATTTTCTAGACAATCGGCTCACAGATGGCGGCAAGGTTGTTAGCCCTACACGCCGGCCGTCCTTTACCCCCAAGAATATGCCTGGTTCTCATTTCTGTTAGAGGTTGAGTCTACTCCAGGACCATAGTGCGGCTGGAAGGTTTAGTAGGTCAATTGAAAAAAAAAACCAATGACCTCATCGGGACTTGAACCCACGACCTTCCGGCTTGTAGCACACTGCCTCAACCAACTACGCTACATCAAAACAGAGAGTCTTTGAACCGACTTTAAGTACGTTTTCCTCACTACTTGAAATGTTATAGCACCTATGAAATCTTAAAATTTCAAATCTTACTATACCTGTACATCATCACAATGTAAAAAAAGGAAGGTAAAGCTAACCCTGTAACAGGCCGTGAAGGCCCGTAGGGTTATGAGATGTCGAGGCTCCCACATCTTCTAAACAATAGCATTACAGATGGCGGTAAGGATGGCGCCGGCCGCCCTCACAATGTGTCTCATTTAAACGGGTACTTAATGTTTCACTAATTGTGTAGTTCACCCCGACATTGTTCTGAAGAGTCTCCACCCCCACGAGTTCTTTTGGGTTTTCAGCTGCAAAATTATGAGACACACTTTCACATCTACTTAAATTGTTTAAAATGACAGTCATCAGCACTGTTTCGTTTGAGATGGCTTGCCCCTTTACAACTTATTCCTGTAGCATTTTATTTTAAGAATAAAGATGCATATGAGAAGTTAATTTTGGAGACAGGTCATAATTTAAACGATCGAACCAGTATACTAACTATTTTTGGGGCCTCAATGATGAATTTATCACCACAGCTGACGTCAACAGCTGAAGTTTAATGGCTATTTCCACCTCTTTCTATTCACCAATAGTTATGTTATGAATGGTTTTAGAAGATTTCCGAGTCTATTAATGTCAGATCTCTGCGAAAGCGTACCAGAAGTCTCACTAAATGATGCGCTCAACCCACGTCCATTAGACCTGAAAAGACAACAACTTCAGCGTCACAGCCTTTTGAACTTTACTCGACCTATTTTACACAACTGACCTGTAGGACTTCTGGCTGCTGCAGACTGCGTAGAGCCGAGGCTGGAGAGAGACGTGGTCTTGGAGCAGAGGCCAGGCCAGCCTTGCCCGCCATCGCTGCTCCGCTTGAGCAGAAAGCCCTCAGGACCACGGGCAACAGTCGAGTTCTTGTACCAGTCAGGAACGTTGAGCTTCTGGAGAGAGCGCTGTACCCGCAATTGGTGCTCCGACATGACCCGCTCCCCAACACCGCCCTTTTGCAGCTCATTCTCTGGAGGCTGCAAAAACGAAACAAAACATCGTCACCTATGTTCTCTTTCTGGCTTAACTACCCTGGCGCAGGAATAACAGCAACTAATTCGTGTTTGGGGTGTTTCTTGAAAAGTCGGCTGGGCATATGGGAAGCAGAGATGCATTGTTGCTTTCATCTCCAAAACTGGGCGCTGTCCTCCGTCTCCACTTCTATATACGGCAGCTTAGTGTTAATTTCACCGTCCAACGCTGCGATCAGTTTTTTTTTTTACAGATAAGTGATCAAGTCACGATGGTGAAACCAGAATTATGTCACCGTCAGACAAGTGTCCCTTCATTCAAGTTCAGTTGCCTTGGTTGACAGTTAACACGGGAGCCAGGATATAAAAATCAGTATCAGCAGAAATATAGTTTTAGCTAAAACAAGGAGATGCTTTATCGCCACTGCTCTTTAGCTTTGCTTTCGAATATGCCATTAGGAACGTCCAGGGGAACCAGATGCGACGGAAATTAAATGGGACACGTCAGATGATGGTTGGTATATGCTGATGACGTGAATCTACTGGGAGGTAACATAAAGAAAAACACATAAACTTTCAATCGACGCTAGTAAGGCGGTTGGTCTAGTAGTAAACGCACAGAAAACTAAGTATATGTTGGCCGTGCCATAGCTCAGCCGTTTAGTTGTCCACTTCCAAATGCGGCAGCACTGGTTCGAGCCCGGGGCCAGATCATGCGGGATCTTTGGTGGACAAAGTTCCACTTGGGCAGGTTTTCTGTAAATACAGAGTGTTTCACGACTTTAGGGCATAACTGCAGGAGGTGATTTCCTAGGTCTTTGTGATCAAAAAAGTTCATATAAACATGTGTCCGCTTTTGGACGGTTACGGAGTTATGACCGTTTCTTTTTTCATTCCCGTACACGCCCTCGTGTGAACCGCGTCTATCATCTGGTGGGTCGCTATTTTTAGCCAGGTACAGTCAGAGCGTTCCCGTTATCTCGACACTTGAGAGGTACCTAAGGTGTGGTGGGCTGGTATGTCCGGCCACGGCTAGTGTGGCGGCTACTGGTGTTCAGAAGTTCTCATCTCGGTGCGTCTGTTACGTTCACGATGCCATTTACATTTTCATTTGAGGAGTATGCAGATATGATTTATGTGTCCGGGTTTTGTGACGGTAACTCAGTTCTTGCCGTAGCTGAATATCAGCAAC